GAATTTTATTGTAGTCTTTGCAGTGGTATAAAATTTCCAGGCTCAGACATTATATTTTTTAATCATACTAAAAACCTGTTTTAAATGTTGACATCTAACTTTATAACACCAAGTGTTAGCACAGACTTTATCTCATAATTATAAAATAATCATGAAACCCCAATGTTATCAATATTTGTTCAAAGTACCCTGAGGAGGCTTCTGGAAACACAGTGGAACTATGCCAGCACTGTGGAAGTCAATGGAAGCTCAAGTTATAAGGACTGAAAAAGAATTTGCCTATTTTTAATAGTCTTTTAATAATAAGGGCCTGCAATTTAGTAAATTTGAATAAGTGATAATGACTTGACTTTACAAACAGACATTATTCAAGGAGAAAGTAGGCAGAAGTTTGTCTTCATCATAGAAGCTTAGAACTTTAAGAATTTGGAAAAAAGAATTAAAGAAAAAAAAAGCTACATTTTTTTCTGAGTGTGAGTTTTAAAAAAATATATTTTATTGATTATACTATTACAGTTGTCCCATTTCCCCCCTTCACTCCCCTCCACCCTGCACATCCTCTCCCACCCATATTTCCCCCCCCCCCCCTTTAGTTCATGTCCATGGGTCATACATATAACTTCTTTGGCTTCTACATTTCCTATACTGTTCTTACCCTCCCCCTGTCTATTTTCTACCTACCATCTATGCTATTTATCCTCTGTATCTTTCCCCCCTCTCTTTCCCTCCCACTCTCCTGTTGATAACCTTCCATGTGATCTCCATTTCTGTGGTTCTGTTCCTGTTCTACTTGTTTGCTTTTGTTTGTTTTAGGTGTGGTTGTTAATAACTGTGAGTTTGCTGTCCTTTCACTGTTCATGTTTTTTATCTTCTTTTTCTTAGATAACTCCCTTTAACATTTCATATAATAAGGGCTTGGTGATGATGAACTCCTTGAACTTGACCTTATCTGAGAAGGGCTTTATCTGCCCTTCCATTCTAAATGAAAGCTTTGCTAAATAGAGCAACCTTGGATGTAGGTCCTTGCCTTTCATGACTTGGAATACTTCTTTCCAGCCCCTTCTTGCCTGTAAGGTGTCTTTTGAGAAGTCAGCTGACAGTCTGATGGGACCTCTTTTATAGGTGACTGTCTTCTTATCTCTTGCTGCCTCTAGAATTCTCTCCTCTTATTTTTAATCTTGGGTAATGTAATTATGATGTGCCTTGGTGTGTTCCTCCTTGAATCCACCTTCTTTGGGACTCTCTGAGGTTCCTGGACTTCCTGGAAGTCTATTTCCCTTGACAGATTGGGGAAGTTCTCCTTTATTATTTGTTCAAATAGCTTTTCCACTTGTTGCTCTTCCTCTTCTCCTTCTGCTACCCCTATAATTTGGATGTTGGAACATTTAAAAATGTCCTGGAGGTTCCTAAGACTCTCCTCACTTTTTTGAATTCTTGTTTTTTTCTGGCTGGATGTTTCTTTCTTCCTTCTGGTCCACACTGTTGATTTGAGTTCATTTCCTTCCCATCACTATTAGTTCCCTGTATACTTTCCTTTATTTCACTTAGTGTAGCTTTCTTTTTTTTGTGTGTGTGTAATTTGAAACCAAATTCAACCAATTCTGTGAGCATCCTGATCACCAGTGTTTTGAACTGTGCACCTGATAGGTTGGCTATCTTTTCGTCACCTAGTTGTATTTTTTCTGGAGCTTTGATCTGTTCTTTTGTTGGGCCTTTTTTTTTTTTTTTTGTCTTGACAAGCCTGTTCCATAGTGTGGGGCAGAGTCTTAGGTGTTCACCAGGGCAGGGCAACCCACGTAGCTGCATTGTGACACTGTATGTGGGGCAGGGGTCAGAGAGGGGACAATGGCACTTGCTCTGCTCTCTGCCAGCTTTCAGTCACTTCCCGTTTCCCACAAGCAAATTGGGCCCATGTGGTGCTGATTCCCAGGTGAGTTGGCTTGTGTACGTTCTAGGACCCTGTGGGTCTCTCCAACAAACTCTCCTGTGAGGCTGGGAGTTTCTCCTGCTGCTGCCTCAACCCCCACAGGTGTTTTCAATCAGTGGTTTTCGGCTTTATTTTCAGGTTCTAGAGCCCTGAGTTGTGCGGTCTGTCTCAACCCCGAGTTGTTCCTCCTCGTTTATGTGCTTGAGAATGTGGGACCGCCTGCTCCACCAGCCACCGTAGCTTTGCGCCCAGCTGCAGCCTTGTGCGCCGCCCTGCTCCACAACTGGTGCTGGGTTTGCCAGCTGCTGCCTTTCGGGGAGTCCTCTCCACGTACCCAACTCTACCCCTCATTCCAGCCTGGATGAGTGTGTTTTTTTTAACTCCTTGGTTGTCAGACTTCTATACAGTTCAATTTTCTGTCAGTTCTGGTTTTTTGTTTTTAAATTGTCCTCCTTTTGGTTGTGCAAGGAGGCACAGTGTGGCTACCTATGCCTCTATCTTGGCTGGAAGTCCCTGAGTACGATTTTTAATCTTCAAGATTTTTTCTTTACAATATGGAAAGTTTAAAAACAAAGAACTTCCCATTTCTTCCTATTTTCCTTAGAATGTGAATTCAAAAGTTCAAGTTGCTTTTGTATGCTCTTTTATCCCAACTTGAATTTCAGTATTCTATAAATCAACAGCTCTTTTTTAAAAATGCCAACATTTAAGTTAAATATTCAATTAACTCATGGTTTAATTTAATAGAGTAAGGATGTACTAAATCTTCATCCAGCATGAGGCACTGGACCAACTCCTAGGGAGACAACTAGGGGGAGTTAATGCTCCTTAGAATTATCAAAGGTAGTCTTTGCCCAATGGCCCCAAGACTCAGGGATAAATTCCTTTAAAAAATGTTAAAGGCTTATTGAAAGATTTAAACAGAACTATACATTCAGTTATGCATATACCAGGGTGATAAACACTCACCTTTCTCCCATGGTTTAAAGAGCAAATTCCTCATCAGACTTTTCAAATACTGACTTCATCAGAGAAGACTCAAGTATTGAGAAGCTATCAAGCTCATGGCAGTGGATACATATTTTCTAAACTTATAACTCTCACATTAAAGCTCAGAAATTATCATTGGCAACAATAATTGTCCTTTGTTTACCTCAAAGTGGCAGGTGCACATCATTTTTGAAAAATGTCTGTCAAGTACCTGTCTGAATAACCAGTCTGTCCATAGTTCTTTCAAGTAAAAATAACATTCAATGAACATAAGAGTAAAACAGTATTTCAGCTTGCAATTCAAGCATGGAAAGTGTTTTTCTGAGATAAATATGACACTTTGGTATTGAGCATACATGCTTTATGCACACTTCCTGTTTTTTTCACACTGAATTTATAAAGAGTTAGACTTTAAAAAAATTAATAACTTTTACTGCTTTATCAAGGCCATTTTCAAGCGACACTGGCTTTCAGTTTGGTGCTTTTGCCTTGGTTCGCGATAAGACACCTGCACTTTTGGCCACCAATTTTACACCATTGGTGCAAGTGTCAACACTGCGAAAGAGCCAGATCAGTCTGGCTGTTTTTATGAAAATAATTTTGAGTTGGCAGACCCCTTGAAAAGGTTTTGGGAACCTCAAAGGGGTTCCAGAACTACACTTTGAGAAGCACTGGGTGCTTGTGCAGACAGAAATCACATTTTTTTTCTCTTCAATTCTTTAATGCTTGAGGCTTATTATTGTAGGTTTCCTCACTGAGCGCCAAAGGAAAGGCACGCCAAGGCTTTGAACACATCCAAGAGATAACATCCAATTGCCCGCAGCTTAAAGGCTCACTTAAGTCTTGGGAGGGTGGGGGTTGGGGACAGGGGTGTCAAACAGCTGGCTCAGGCTTGCAGTTGCCAGGGGCAACGATCATCAGCTAGAGGGAACAGGACCATCGATTAATCATGACTTGTGCGGTCAGGGAAGAAGAGGGCGGAGATGGCTGGAGGAAGGACGCCAAGGCTGGTTGTCCCAAGGTGGCAAGGCGTTCTGCGATCTATTGGAGTGGCTGCCGAGGGCTTGTGTTGCCGTTGGGGAGGGCGGGAAGATGGCGGCGGTAGCAGCGGGCGACCCGGTAGGGAAAGGGCGCGATATCAGCCTGGCGGCTCTACAGCGCCACGACCCCTATATCAACCGCATCGTAGACGTGGCCAGCCAGGTGGCTCTGTACACTTTCGGCCATCGGGCCAAGGAGTGGGTGCGTGCGGATGGGACAGGCAGTGCAAACAGGCGGGGATGGCGACGGGTCCTCACACCCAGGCGCCACACCCCCCCACGGGGAGGGGGAGGGAACGAAACACTGTGGAGGATGGAGGTGTCTCGAGGCTCCAGGCCGAAGTTGTGTGTGTGGGGGGGGGGGGGGGATTGCGCCCTTGAGCTCTGGGGCTTGGGGGAGAGGGAGGCCGATATCTGAAACCATCTGAAACTGGGGCAAGACTTAAATACCTGCAATACGCCACGTTGGGAGACCGGACAGATCCAGGACGGGACCCTGAGAATTGAAAGAAAGGGAGGACCTGGTGCCTTGAGGCCGGAAGACTGAAGTACTCGGAGAATGCAAAGCGGAATCTGTTACGGAAAACGGTGGCGGTAGAGGGGGCAGGCGCGGGGTGTGGGGCAAGGGGCGGGTAGGAAATGAGTACGGGAGGAGAGTTCTGGTTTTGGTTCTGGAACCTCAGATGAGATTGAAGAGAAACCAAACCTTGGTAGCAGGGAGAAAGCTGAAGTTGCCAACTCAGGGAACGCACCAAGGAAAGAGCGAACATCAGGGAATAAAATATTAAATGGGACTCAGTCTAACACTTAGAAGGAGGCTGGCTCTCTCAGAAAGATTAATACACCATAGCCGACCAAGACCAAAAATGAGTTTTAATATTTGAATTCATTTGGGAGCCGTTGTCAAGCAGAGCCCCAAGAGATAGCAACGGAATTAGATGTAGTTTTTCTCACAATTCGAATGGGGTAGGAGCGTTAAGATGCGTGAGCCCTCCTGCAGGCTACAAGTGGATTTTGAATGTAGAGAGATGGATTTTTTTTCCTCTTTACCTCCTAGTGATTTTTGTCCAAATAATATTAATCTGTCAATTGTATTACCATTCATCCATTACTTCTAAGTAAGTGGCAAAACAATAAAAAGCACTAATCGTGGATGAATGGATTTCAGAAGGTTTTTTTTAAAACATTCTCGAAGAAGGTATCAAACATCAAAATTTAAGCAATAAAACATCTATATTAACAAATTCATTTATTTTTTTAATCACCCACATTCATTTATATAGACTATTTACTCACCTATAAGTGACTAACAAAAAAAGATAAAAGATCATAAAATGGGAAAGAAAATAATTTTTTCATCAACTGTTAGGAAAGGTACTGACATGGGCTTAGGGCTGCTCTCCAACTAGCCAAGCAAAAAAGAAAAAGGGGGTTAGGGGAGAGCTATTCAATATTCATAATTCTGTAATAGGAAGTAACCCACTTGATAAGGAGGGGTTATTTCTCCCCAGTTTTCAGAGTAATTTGCCACCCAAGCAACATAGGACAGTTTCATCAATGGTAACTTAAAAGGCAAACATTCTACATATAGCTATTATACTGCTCTGTAGAAAAATCCCAAATGCATAATGTCAGTTCTGCCAAGGCAATTCAGTAGTACAGATAAGGATCAGGGGTGTATAGTTCTATAAAGGACGACCAGGATTATAGTCTGGAAAATCCTGAAACATGTAGGATAGCATTCCTCTTGAATAACAATTGTTTCCTAGAATCTTTTGGGACAGATACCTGTTAAAATAGTTATAGAGGTTTATTAGATACCCAGTGAAGTGCTTATACTAAAGCCTCTGTGAAAAGTCAAGTGTCACAATGCATTATTTACAGGATTGTTTTTCTGCTTCCTGGACTTGTTACCTTCAGACAGGCCATAATTCATTCAGTAAAAGGTCATTCTTTCAAAAGGACTAATCTTCAAGGCTGTATTAGCCAGAAGAAAAGAGAGAGAGACCCAGTTTAGATGCAGAGCGGTTGCTAGGGGTAAACAAATTATCACCATTGTCTCCATGAGCCATCACTTAGGCCTTCTGCATGGGAGCCTTTTGAATGTAAGCCTAATAAATTCATAAGAACATTCTTGAGAATGGAGGAGAAAGCATATGCAACAAGGAAGGTGGGGTGTAAAAGGAAGGGAGTTGTTCAGTGAAAATAGGTGAAGAATGACCAGGCAGTCAGAGCAGGAGGAATTAGGTAGGAAGAGTGGCCTGGAAGTGAGCTGTTTTGAGGAAGGATTAAAGAGATTGTGCCATGACTGAGGAATTTTAGAACTAGACCTATTTCCCACTGCCAGGAAAGACCACTCCCTTAAAGTGTACCCATGAGTAGAAGATTATAGCCCTGATCTTATTTCTTCCTCTCAGCCCCAGGAGCAGTAGTTTTCAATGAGTTGATTTGACTGTCTGCAGAAAATTTTTGGTTGTCTCATTGAGAGAGTGGTATTATTGGTGTCTAGGGGAGAGAGGCCAGGGATGCTAAAAATCCTACAAAAGGGCTGAGCTTGAGAAACTACCTTAGCGGCTAGCTACTGGTTTTCTGAGCTCTGTAATCACAATTTCTGGATATGAGGCCAAAGCATTTGATATTTGTTGAAATATAGGTGACTTGGGTGCTATATACATGACTAAGAAAGACAGATTTAGGAGGTAAATGACCTTTTCCATCATTTCAAGATAACATAGTAAGGTATAGATTGCTTTGAGTTGTGTCAGGGTTCAGATAGTGTTATGAGTCCCAATAATGTGCAAAGTGGCACTACTATATTTCACTGTATTTTAAATTTTGAACTGCTTAATTTTTTAGCACTTTTTATAGTAAAGTATAATATTAAACCATTCAATTTTACCTCTAAAATTAAAGCTAAGCCCTGGCTGGTTTAGCTCAGTGGATTGAGCACAGGCCTGTGAAGCAAAGGGTCACCAGTTCGATTCCCAGTCAGGGCACATGCCTGGTCTGCAGGCCAGGTCCCCAGTAGGGGGCACATAGAGAGATAACCACACACATATTTATCTCCCACTCTTTCTCCTTTCCTTCCCCTCTCTCTAAAAATAAATAAGTAAAATATATTTTTTAAATTGAAGCTAAAATCCACCATAACTATGAACTAATGTTTTAAAATAAAAGTCCTCTTTACTTAGAAGTCCTAAGAAGGATCTAATAAAGTCTCATCTTAACTATTTCCCATTCTCCCAACTCTGGGCTTTGCCTAGAATGAAAAAAAAAAAAAAATGGTTACCTAGGATAACTGTGGAGGGACCAGAAAAACGCATGAGTTTGAGCTGTGTCAGCTCTGATAGACCAAAAAAAAAAACATGTTTTGTCATTAAAGATCTGAGTGTTGTAGGCTGGTTATCTCTTTGCAGTGGAGAAACTGAGGCATAAAATAATACTTAGCCCAATATGAGCTGACAACAGCTCCACTACAGGTCCAGTATTATAATCTCTGAAACAGTTCTTTTCCATGAGCAAACTCATGCTCTTTGTGTGCAATGCTATATAAAAATCTAATTTTTAAGAAATGCTTATTATGAGTTAGAGGAGAATTTCAGGAGAAACATACTTCATACATTTCTGATTCTGGATTTTTCAAAGTTAAAATTGGGCATAAAGTCTTTTTTTCTTAAAAGGTAATTTCTATTACTACTTCATAAAGAAAGAAAGGAAACAAGTCAAAAGCCATTAGCTTTGTTTTTACACTGATACATGTAAATAGGCTGATTTGGGTCTCTGAGATGAAACAGTCCAAGGTCAAATTCTGGAAGACAGGAAAGTGTTTTAGCCATGTAGCAAGTGATTCTGACAATGCATGCAAGTTATAAATCCTATTTCTGTCACCTTATGTTCAGTTTCCTACAAATGTAATAAATAATACCAAATATTTAGTTTTTACAAATTTATTTCTAAAGGCTCTGTGGACTAGTAAGTACCTTAACTCTACTAGTTAAACTTGAGGGATGCCCACAAATCCTTCCACTGTGTGGGTAGTATTTATTGTGCTGTAGTGGCCATTTTCTCAGTGACTGATACTGTGGTGGTTTAAGTAATTCTTGAACTGCACCCAGGTTATAGATTTCTCCACAGACAGGAATTAATCATGTTTACAAAGAGAAATATAATGTTTCTGTATATATATATATATATTATTTTGGTAGTTTTCAAAGCACAGTGGCAAATGGGCACATTTGAAAAATAAGGATTTTTTTCATAGTACGTTAAAGTGACTTATGCAGACTTCATAGTAAATCCATTTTAAGAATGAAGTCCCTAACTTTCTTACCAGTGTGTTTATATCAGAGAAAAGACTAGCTAAAATTGTTTTAACTATTATAAATTCTTTATTTTTAATGCATATTCTATAATAATGATTAAAAATCTTGCTACTCAGTAATTTACTCTTAACAAGCTATTTGCTCATAATTTGGACCATAGTGGATTTTGTTTTTATGACTTCTAATAGAGTTCTGCGGGCAGAGATCATGTTATTAAGCAGCAGCATCAGAATCACCAGGGTGTCTTAGTAAAAGAATCTACTGGGCATCAGCCCCAGAGTTTCTGAGTCAGTAGGTCTGGGAAAGGACCTGAGCATTTGCAACAGATTCTTAGGTGATACTGCTGATGAGGATCCACTGAACTGTGAGACCCACTGAACCACAGTGACTAAGAAAATTGCTGAAATTAGTTTGTGAAAGGATTATGCTTCCATTTTTTGTGTGTGTGCCTTTTAAAATTATTTTAATATTATGCCTTTATTTTTAAAGAGTGTATTTTTTGGGCATACTGAGTACTTACTTAAACCTTGAATGATTTTGGTAATGATATTAATAGTAAAATACTATGAAGTTAAATAGAATGCCGAAATTAAATCATTAAACAGCAAAGTACATTTTAAATTCTGAATAATAATAGTCTGATTATGAGCTAATCAAACATATGGATACTTAAATATTTTTAGAATGCAGTGCACCAATGAACATTTTTATCAGAGCCTGGGGTCCTGTCTTTGTTAAGTTAGAAAAAAGCCTTTCTAAAGGAACTAAAATGATAGTTTATCATTTTAATTTTACCACTTTTCCCAGTTTTTCTCAAGCAGATTTCCTGAGTTCTAACTTGGTAATGTTTCTTTCTGTCTAATTTTATTTCAAAAATCAGAACTTAATTCTAAATATTCCATCCAGTAGTTGATTAATTGTCTGAAAATTATGACATCATTGCTGTCTTCAGTGTAGTAGTCAGAGTGGAGTTATTGGCAGATCACCTGCACTCTTAGGCGATGGGGTATATATAGCAAGAGAAAATGAACCCAGAAAATAAAGAGAAGGGTAATGAGATGCAGTCCCCAGTGATTCTTGCAGCGTGCTATGTGCCCAGTTCAGAGGGCAGAGGAAAAGGCAAAACACTTCTTATAATCTCTTTCTAATGAGATCCATGGTGTGTTGTTATCTCCACATTTGGTAAAGAGATAATGATGGTTTATTTTGTAAGTGACAAAAGGAGAATGACTGCTTCCTGCTGATGGAGCAGCAGAGCCAAAGTCAGGCAAGAGCCTGCTTTTCTGCTTTCCCTAAGAGTAACCTCTCTTAGAGCAGATGTGGCTTAGATTTGGCCCTATGTGAAACTGGGTAGAACTCCAATTCTGTAAGAAGTTTATGTTCTTTAACCTCTGTGAATGTTCATTATTAATGAAGAGAATAAACATGTTTTGCTTGTGTTTTTATATTCTAGGAGAAGACTGATGTGGAAGGAACCTTATTTGTTTACACAAGGTAATAGTATTTTACTTTTATAAAGAAACTGACAGTCACTCTTTAATTGTACTATTATTTCTAAAAGAAGTAAAAGAAATGAATGTTAGTTTGAAGTTTTTAGTTAACATAAAGGAATACTAAATAATGTCACCTAGGATAGTGTGAGGTATACTACTTTCAGAATCAGTATAGTTAAACTTAAATCTTTGTGTTTTTTCAAAAGTAGTATTAAGTATTTATCATTTTATTCAAATGAATGGTACAAAGTTCTTGAATGTAATGTATTGGCAAGGAGCTAGAAGTACACTATTAAGGATATTAGATTATTTAATCAATTATTTAGACAAGGTTCCAGATATTAATTTATCTTTTAAAATTTTATTTTTCAGTTAGTTTATATTCAATATTATTTTATATTAGTTTCAGGTATACAGCATAGTGGTCGCATGCATAATCACGTAATTTACAAAGTATTCCCCCAATATTTTTATCACCCACCCGGCACCATACATAGTTATTACAGTATTATTCACCATATTCCCTATGCTGTACTTAACATCCCCATGACTATTTTGTAACTCCCAATTTGTACTTGGTAACCCCTTCATCTTTTTCACCCAGTTCCTCAATCCCCCTGCCCGCTGGTGGCCATCCATCTGTCTTCTGAATTTATGAGCTGGTTTCTGTTCTGTTTGTTTGTTTATATTGTTCTTTAGATTCCACAGATAATTGGATCATATGTGTTTGTCTAAATATTCCAAACTCAGAAGGGTTTTATTGATGTCTCCCCCACAACCCTTGACTATTTTAAAGAAGCATGATCCAAAATTAAAGATGTCTGAGTATTCCATTATTTAGTTAATATAATATGTGTCAGGATAGATTTAATGTATTATTTTAATTATTAATACATTTAATAATAAGCTCATGCCATTAGTAATTTATATTGTTATCATTTATATCGATATCATTAATGTCACATGCACACAGACATGTAGTATGTATATTGTCTTAATAGCTAAACATTTTATTTGCATAAAAATGTTGGCTAAAGTCCATCACCATCATGCAGGGGTGCAAAGATAAATACAGAGGCTTCATACAAACTCTTCCAGGGCTAACACTTTTACTGGGGAGGTAGAAAATATACACACATACAGTATATATATACACTGACATTTAAAGATAAACCATAATGCAGGCAGAGCTAACTCTGAGTGCCAGTTGATAGGTTATAAGCAATGAATGGGCCTCTGAGGTTGTGGAAGGCGTCATGGAGGGGTGAATACTGAGTCAGTCTCAGGTATAAAGATAGAACTTAACTCGCATAGAGGAGCAGGAAGGGCAGTCTTGCAGGAATGGTGTAAGCAGAGGCATGGAACCGATAGCGATAGGGGACAGTAAGGGAAATGACTGGTGCAGAGGATTTACATCGACAGAGAGTTACATTATATTAGAAGTTGACAGTGAGGGTAAATCAATTTTGCTGGGCTGGAGTGTCAGACAAGGATTTTGAAGTTTATTTTCCTAGCAATATGGAGTCATTGAAGGTTTATGAACAGGGGAGTAATAGAATTACAACAGAACGTGTGGGGAAGGTCAGTGTGTCAGCATTATGAGCATGCGTTGGTTGTAGAAGAAATCAGAGTTACAGAAGAACATTCAGAAGGTGCTTGCGGTGGACATGAGATGAGGGTGTGGACCATAACAGAAGTTGAAATGGAAAGGATTTATTGAAATATTGCATGTACAGAGGGAATGGTGACATTTTAAAAATAACATTAAGATTTTGAAGTGGAAGACTTGAGAGAATGACAGACATTGGTGGAACATAAAAATAGGGAGTCAAGAATCTGATTTGAGCGTAAATTTTAGTTTATTTAATGATTTGGAGTGATAGCAGAGTGAAACTGTGAGAGAAAATATGTTCTTTGAAGGAGAGAGTAAAGAGGAAACTGAGGAAGGCTAATGGCTAGTTTTAGAGCCAACAAGGGTACAGAGAAGAGTCAGCCATAAAGATACAAGCAGAGCTAGAACAATACAGAGGCCAGTGTGGGCACAGCGTAGGACTGGTGTGAGTTTGTGTGTAGGGGAAGCAGCAGTGAGAGTGGGAAGACAGGACTGGATGGGAGAGGCCATCAGAGCAGGTAAGGAGGAGGTCGGTTTGTTCCATTTCAAAAAGATGGGAGGACCCAAGAGTCATTAGCTATATTAGTTTACATTGTTTTCCAAAACATTCCAGAAGCATCAGAGTGAGCTTATTCAATAGGGACTACTCTTGAAAATTCTGAAGTATGAAAAGAAAAGCAAACAGTAGAACTCGACTGTGTGCCAGGCATACAATATGTGGTCTCATTCAGTTCTTAAAACAAGTACTATTCTTTTGAGAAGTAAAAGGAAAGATATATTAATATGCATTAATGATTTATTTTAGGGATTTTAATTTTAAGTTGGCTTACTTTTTTTTCCCATGTACCCAAATCAAATGTAGCTTTGTATTTTCAAGTACTTAATTTACTTTGCATTCCTAGTAGAGCTGTCAGTTAAACAAACCATTAAACTGAGAAACAAATTTTTCCCTATTTCTTAACCTTTTTCTCACCAATAGGAAACCCCTCCTACCTCCTCCATCTTCCCCCAGACCTTCTACCCCAAAGCCAGATTCTAGCATGTTGAGTTCTTTCCTCCGTAGAGAATGACAGGTCAAAAGGGAGTTTGGGGCACAAGTCACGGACCTGCCAGTGGTATATTTTGCTCTGTACCCACACTGTTAGAGAGCTGAGACCCTGTTGTGTTAATGAAATACTTGAAGAATCAAATTCCGATTCTGGGTAAAAACATCTAATCCTATTAAAAAATTTTTTATTCTTCATTTCCTTACATGTATTCCTTTTTGTAATAGAGTTCATAGAGAACCCACTGGTGATTTCTGAACTTGCTGCTTCTATAGGACTCTGTCAGAGATCTTTGGAAGTCAATTTTCATTCTTCCTCAGAATTTAAGTTGAAATGATTATTATGATTACCTCTGGTTTTGATTATATGCCTACCCCTTTACCTCTCTGCAAAATGAATTAGACAAGGACTGCCTTCCATCAATTTTAAAATTGAAAGGCTCAAAAGGAAGTTCTCTACGTGATAATGTAGCTGTATTTTACTCCTTTATCAGCATCAAATCAGATATCAAGTTTATATCAAACTAAGATATAAGCACCTTTTCTTCCTATTGCTCATAACACTTCTGTGGGTGTATTACCTAGGCACCCTAGTTTAATGGAAATAAACATATTCTACTTTTACTTTCAATATGTAAACACATGGGGTTTCTTTTGTCACCAGAGGCTGCATAGTCGAATTGCTATATAGGTGTCACACAAGAGTAGACAAATGCAGATGTAGTTATTAAACTTTATACTCTGTATAATTTGGTTTCTTTCTGCCTGACAGAGAGTAGGCACTGAAGGTTTACTGAATAAAATGAAAAGTAAAAATGTCATTAAGTGCCACATTTTTATGGAGAAAAACTATAGTAGTTTACAAAGCTGTTTGCTTTATATTAAAGAAAACAAAATATCTGCTTTTGTGTTGAATTATATAAATTTTAATATATTGTATTTCCTCAGCAGATCATTGCCCAGAGTTGCACCATTTCTTTAATAAGTTTCACAGCTTTTCATTTCAGACCAACACCAGGATTTTCTGTGAAAATTCTTTTTATGTAACTGTGATGTACACTCTGTATTAAAAATCATGTAGTGTTTAAAATAGTAATTACCATCTCTTCCTTAAAGGAATTTACAATCTAGGTAGGGAAACAAGATACAGGCACACACATAGTTAAATATGTAGGATTTGATTTTACCAAAGCATCTGTTATTACAGTCATGCTGCATATGTTACATACATTAATAGTGCTATTAGCTCCTAGCAAAGAATCATTGCTTTATACGCGTGCAGTTTGCTTGCACAAAGGTATAGATACGTACAAAAACGTTGAATGCACACTCAAATGTAGGTTGAAGACACATTTGAAAGCAGTTATACTAAAAGTGTACTATAATGAACAGCTCATATTTTGATATCCTCTCATCCCTTGTGATTCTTAGGTCTGCTTCTCCAAAGCATGGGTTCACCATTATGAATAGGCTGAGCATGGAAAACAGGACAGAACCCATTACTAAAGACCTGGATTTCCAGCTTCAGGACCCTTTCCTTCTCTACAGAAATGCCAGATGTAAGTCTTTCTTAATAAATTGTGTAGTTTTACTTCAGCAGTTTGCTAGGTGTTTAAAATTGTACAGTAGTATGTCTTTGTCTTTGTGTTAGCATCAGTGATTCTAGGGGTCAGCCCTGGTTAGCTTGGGAAATGCATGCCTAATTGAGGGAATGGCTTTCCTTGAGAAAGTTAAAATGAAAGCCATGTGAATATGATGATGTGAGTATTCAAACCCTGTCTTCTGTAGTGGGACCACTTTGTAGTGTGAGCCCATGGGAGGTTCTAACTTAGGCTGATCAGGGCTGGATGAGGAGTTTTTGGTCAGGAGACTGCAGGACACGTAGGTGGTACTGTAGGGCATAGAATTAATGATTCAGCTGGTGGCACTTTTTGAGTGTGTGTCACTTCTGACTGAGCCTTCTGATGATATGTTTGGGGGAAAGAACGATGTTCTAGAATTGCCATCTTTTGAATGCACAGTAAGTGAAAAATCAAAGCCCAAAGAATTTTGGCCATTGAGAATTTCATAACACTTTGTAATGTTGAAGTTATATTAGGTAACTAAATTAGTCCTTGTTAGATTTGAAATGAGGTAGCAGTCACCCATCCAATATTCTATCTCTGTTCTATTCTTGTATCTTTTCTGATCACTTGTGTTGAGCTATTGGACAGCCCAGAAAAAAACCAATGGAAAATATGCAGACCGCAAGGGCATCAACATGCACTGGTGCACACACATGCTCTGTGCTTTGTGGATAACTTTCAAAAAGACCTTGCAGTTAAAGTTTTCCATTCATTTTCCATCCTGCTCTTTGAGCTCAAGACACAAGAATTGGCCTATAACATACTATTCAGTGTAATTTAATAGTGAATGTAATAGTGAAAGATATTTAATGTTTTAACCCTAATGAGTTGTTTTAAAGTATCCTTTAATGCTATATTTACTTATATTCACAATAATTAAGTTATCATGATAGGTGGTCATCCTATTATTTAGAGACTGTGGTTGAATTTTTATGAGAAAACAATGAAAGCTGTTAAAATTGTACCATGGCTTACTAATAGTAGGTCCTGTGGGCAAAAAAAATAGAGAAATATTTTGTTTCTACTCCTGTTTTTTTGCTGGAAGATGTAGTTTTGTCATTTGCAGCTTATAGCTTGAATTGCTTATATGCTTATAGTGATGTTAGTTGTTACTTTCTTTTATGTCAAATTAATAAATAATTCAAATCCTAATAAACAAAATAGTCACATAAATAAGTACAAAATAAATGGATATTAGTGACTTATAGTAATCATTTTTGGTAGCTCTTATTTTGGATAAATACTTGGTCTAGTTAGTATAGATAGTCCCATAGGATTTATCTGGTAGGAAGTACTATTTGGATCTAATAAACACACCTCAGCATGGTTCTAGACCAATGCTGTTCAGCTGCATGTGGTATTGAGCACCTGAAATGTGGCTTCATCTGCATAAAGCTGTGCTGTGGGTGTAAAACACACACTGATTTTCAAAGACAGTGCAAAAAAGTGTTAAAAATCTCAATAATTTCACATTGATTTACCTGTTGAAATGATATTTTAAATATGTTGAGTTAAATGAAATGTTTTAAAAATTAATTTTATCTGCTTTTTATTTTTTGATTTAAAATTACACATGGCTCACATTTATGGTTCACCTTATATTTCTGTTGAATGGCAATGTCCTAGTCATTTTCATTTATTTTACCATACTTTACAGTCACAACTTTGTGAGGTAGCCATTTTCATTACCATTTGCAGAAGAGCAGAGTGAGGTCCAGTGAGATGACAGACCTGACAGACACACACAAATTCTGATTCCTGTTTTATTGCTTTTTCCGTACCACACATACTGCTCTCTCCACTATTAACATGAGTACAAATTGAAGGCAGCCTTTGGGGTGCATATTAAAATGTTTCTAATGAATTTTTATAAGAAAGAAAAGAAATTAGTTGAACAACAAAGAATGGAAGGGAATGGATCCATTTATCTTTCTGGTTTGTTTTGCTTTCTTCTCCCTTGATATCTGCTACTGATGAACTTTTTAGCTATAGTTATTTGGTTTTAGTTTAGTTTATTTGTAAAAGCCTTTTCAGTCTCTGATATCAGAAATTCACAAAAGGCTCTATAGAGTAGCAAGGTGCTCTCAGAGTCTCAGAAACCTCCCAAATGTTTTTAAACAATTCAAACACTTTATATAATAATTATAGATGGTTTACATGTTCTCTGATAACTATAGATTCATTCATTATCATTTGGACAATGAACCCAACTTCATGGAGGTCTGGTTTTTTTTAAGATTCTACCCCTCAAAATCTGTATAGTGAAGAATCTCTCTAGGCATTGATACAGGTGTGTGGGAAATTTTCTCATGGAGTTTTTAGATTCACTAGGTTTAAAAAAAAGTAGTACCTAAGGAGATACCTATCTCTGTCTTGAATTGGATGAATTTAGAAGAATAAAAATAAAGGAGCAAAAACCTCAGTCTCTCTTTTCTTAATAAAAAGATGTTTAATAAATAACTTTGAATTTTGACTGAACACAAAATAGATGATTTTATTAACAGTAAAGAATGTATAGTTTTTAAACTTGGTCATAATAGGATTTGGCTTGTATAGCATTTAAAAGTAACTAAGATAGCTGTTAGAAGTTGAACAGAAATTCATTTATTTTTTCAACAAATATTTACTGAGCATTTACTGTCTGCCGGGCACTATGTCAAGGCTTCATGTGGCTTATTTAATTCTCATAACTTTTTGTCATAAAGATGATTATTTTTGTTTTATAAGTGAGGAAACTGAGGTTAAAGGGATTACATACTTTACCTTGGCTTATGACTACGTGGAGGTGGAAACAGCATTTGAACTGAGAAAGCCTAACTTCAGAAGCCCAGGCCCAAGCGGTGAAAGTGCTAACACATGACTGATGTGTTTGAGCAAGCTTTACTTGTTCAGAAATGCTTAATCTTTTTAGTGTACACTCCAAAGTATAAAAAGCAAGTTTTTTTTAAAGTTGACAATCTATTGTATCGCAGTTATTAGAGAATATAAAATAAAAACTAATGTAACAAAAAGCTGAATTTGACCACTTCTTTCATATTATTGTCTTTCAGTAACCTTTTATTATATTTTCCATGTCCCAACTAAATAAGATTTTGGTATATGGAAACATATTCTAGAAACGCATTTTCCCAAATATATCATAAGAGTTAAGTCACAGCCAGCAAAGGCAGGTAGATTTCAGAGCTAGGCCATCAGGTTGAATATGATTGTCTGTGCTTACAGGATTAGAATGATATTTTGAGCTGCTTGATTTTATTGAAGACATAAGTCTGGAGCTTAAGAGCAAATTAGAAAAGTCAAAATCAAAATATTTTAAATCAAAGCTGTTTTAGAAAACTTCTCCTCAGTGTTAAAGTGAATTTATCATATTGGGTAGTTTTGTATTAAAAAAATACAATTTAAATACTTTATTAATATGTAAGATATGGGGAAAACTGCTATAAATAATGAAAATGATAGTTACAGGCAGTTCTTATCTTTCGAATAGGCCATGTCCTAGAAGTTCCCTTTTAAAGTGATTGGTAGTATTTTAGTAATGCATGGTAGATTAAAAACATTCCTAAAACTATAGAAATGACAATAAAAGGGAAAAAAAGACATAAACCCACAATGGTGGTAGATGCATTTCATGAAAAAATGGAGTAAACAAGAAAGAGAAAGACATAGTATGATAACTTTATTTTTCACAATTATTAACTTTGCCTCTTTGCAGAAGATTGTATCTCTGCCTGTTGATGATCGACTTGACTATATGATTTGGTTCCCCTCCCCAGCCCCACCCCTACACTGACTTCTCCAGGAGGACGTTATATGGTCGCCTGTTGAACTCAAATATCACTGTATAAATTGCTTTGGCCAATGAAATGTGGGCCAATGAAGTGATACAGGTCACTTATGAGTAGATGCTTTGATAACTAGCTCATGATGTGTTGTCTCTCTTTTGCTTCTGCCATGATGACTAACAATATTCTAGGCAGAGGCTGCTCTGTCAGCCTGGGTCTTGGAATGAAAATAACATGGCACAGAGGTAAAGGCACATAATGAATACATAATATGTATGAGAAATAAACCTTTGTCATTGTAAGCCATTGAGATTATGGGATTGTTACTGTAGCATAACTTGGGTTATTATGACTGGTACACAAGCCATTCAAGAAAAAAGGGATCCAAACAGGATGGAGGTAAAGGAATTCTGGGAACAATGATGAAGAAGACTCCCATAATGACACCTATGCAATTAAACTAAAGATCATTCATTCTAAATTAAAGTTAAAGAGTAAAACTCTTTAGGGTGTCCAGGGAAAAATTTATAACTGATAGTTTGAATCTACTGAGACATTTACAGTTTTTTTAAGAGATTTTGATGTTGATATAGGAACATTCAAAACCGAGTAAGGAGAAAAAAAAGCAACAAAATGAGGCAATTCTTAATTTCTGGAAAAATAAAGTATTGTACAAGAAAGGAAATATAATCATAGTATACTATATGGATCTGCAGATGTCATAATACTTAATTAAATTATAAACATTGAATATGAATTTGTACTGTACTTATACTGAAAGGATGGGGAAAAGTGTATGTTTGTGAGAGTGTGTGTGTATTGTCAGAGGGATAAATCCTCTTCATTGTATTTAAAAAATCAAGAAGTAGTGTATACATGCTGTAAGACAAAGAGATTTCAATGCTAGGATAAAAGTTGGATGAGAAATAAATGGAGAGCAGAAATAACTGTCATGGATATAACGAAAGTTGTTTTGGAGAAGCAGTAATTAGGAATGTAATGGCCAGAGAAGAGTTCCCTGTTTTTATAAAGTCTTATAGTATTTGACTTTTAAAATTATGTACATGTGTTATTTTGATAAAGATAAAATTTTAAAAATATAATTGGAGCCCTGGTCAGTGTGGCTTAGTTGGTTGGAACATTGTCCCATAG